ACAGCGCCATCTAACGTAAATTTTCTTCAAACTTAATAACTTCAAAACGAAGGATTTGCTAACATATGTTTATATGAACTTTTGTCCTTGTTTCGGTGTGAGGAACCCACCCCAAAGATTGTAAAAGTATTTTTGATACAACCTATATATATATATATAATTGTATATTTGGAGAGTAATCCCTCATTTGCCCAAATTTCCTTAAATACAGATGGAAAGGTACTGCCATTAATTTTATTTATTTTTACTTGTGTTCTTACAATTTATCAAATTATAACAACACGAAAAATAAAAAAAGATTAACCACAGCACAATATCAATTTTACTTAATGAAACATATATATATATATATATATATATATATATATATATATATATATATTTTTGTGTGTGTGTGTGTGTGTGTGTGTGTGTATTAAAAAAGAAGAGAAGAGAGGTGCCGCAAACGTTTTTGGTTGTAATGTGGATTTATTTAGAAAAATATTATGCTTTGTTTTTACATAATTTCACGACACGTGTTTCTGGTCTCGCGACCGTCTTTCAGGTAAAAGTGGAGATTTCCACATATTATTAAAAATAATAATTAATTTTTCCTCATGTTCAATGTTAAATATTCTCGATATGAGACATTTTCTGTTTGTGTGTTGGTAATCTGAATTTCTTTCTTGAATTCAACACACAAACAGAAACGTTTGCGGCACCTCTCTTCTCTTCTTTTTAATATACATACTTTTCTCTCGTTGCAACCACTACATTATATTTCTTTTATATATATATATATATATATATATATATATTGTGTATTTAGGCAGCAATTCTTCATTTATGTATGTTTCCTTAAAAAAGACAGACAAGGTACCGCGATTAAGCTTTTTATGTAATTTTTCTTGCGTTCGAACAAGAGCTTTCTTTTTGGGACACAGAGTGTGTAGAAACTGTTTAATTGTTCTATAGTTCCGAGTGCTTTCGGCTACCTTTTACCCATTAACAGGGATGATTTTATTTTTTCAATTTAATTGGGTCTGTGCGTTGTGCGTTGTGCTTTGTGCGTTGTGCGTATGCTTTTAATGTTATAGAAATGTTCTATTTTCCGAATACAGCACATTGTGGCCGTGTTCGTAGTTAATATTATTAAGTGTTGGCTTTTTCTTTTTTATTATTAAAGTTTCCATTATTTTTATATATATATATATATATATATATATATATATATATATAATTTATATATATTATATATGCGTACTTATTGGAAAGTGCTCAATATCAGTGATAGAGTTAACATATTCAGCTATATGGATATTAGTTTGTAATACTGGGTTTCATACTTTTGTGATCATCAGATAAACTGGTTTACTATATATATATATATAGGTGCGTGGGTGTGTGAAGAAGTGCCTGTTTCGTTGTAAAATCACTTTACGAGTTTGTACGGGGTCTGTTCGGAAAGCATCGCTGAAATGTCTAAAGTCTCGAGAACCATTAGCGGAGTTTCAACGTCGATTGGTTGGCAGCCAATCAGATACCACTTTACTGGACATTTGTGAACAGTAACTCACTCTCTCCCGTGAGTTTGCTCAGCTGCATTCAAACGCCGCTGACTGTATAAGTTTTGATGTCCCATGGGGAGTGAATTGCAGGGGACTAAGATACCATTGTCATGTTTTTGTTAGTGGTATGCTATATTTAAATGGCTGGATACTTTCTGGTCAGACATATTTTTATATTTATATACTGCATAATGTAAATCTTTCCGACTCACGCCAGAAATTGATACTTGTATTTACCATTAAACATGGCGGAGTTTATGAAAATGTCAAAATCAGTAAATGTATAGATAATCGATTAGCTGCTTATATTTCTCATCTTTCCTGGAGGAAGTTGGCATATTAAATATTTTCCGCATATTTATTATATATATATATATATATATATATATATATATATATATATATATATATATATATATATATATAGATAATATTAGTGGAAAATATACATACATATGAAAAATATATCTAAAAAATTCCCATACATGTATATTTTCAGAAAAAAAATTTTTCCAAGAGGAAGGATCCAGGTAGAACTCAATGTCTAAGACAGAGTAAGGATATAATAAAAAGGCTTAAACACTAATATTCCATGGTCATAATTTATTCCATTGGAATCGTAAATACGATCCAAATCATCAGACCTACAAATTCAAAATGAAAACAGAAAAAAATAACTCCGGAAATCAAAACAGAATTTAGAGAAAGTGTAAGTATGAGGATGAGTGACAGAGAGAATTTTTGGAGATGTGGGTGGGGTGGATTTAAAAGAGGAGAGAAAGAAAGTCGACGGATGTCTAATACATAAAGATACATTTCGTGGTGACATATACACACCACAGACAATTCGGATAGGAAGGGAAAAAAAAAAAAAAAAAAAAAAAAAAAAAAAAAAAAAGGTGGGGGAGAGGATGGGACGAAGGAAAATAAAATTTGTGTTTACTTAAAATTTAAAATCAAATATAAATATATGAAGATGAATATAACGATTGTCTCATTTCGCAAGGACCAAATATTTCTATGTTCAAAAACACATACTAATACACACAAAAAAAAAAAAAAACTATACAAGTAGGTACATACACTTAGGCATGTACACACACACACACCCAGACAATCGTTATATTTATCTTCATATATTTATATTTGATTTTCAATTTTTATTTTCCTTCGTCCCATCCCTCTCCCCCACCCTTTCCCTTTTTTTTTTTCCTTCCTATCCGAATTGTCTGTGGTGTGTATATGTCACCACGAAATGTATCTTTATGTATTAGACATCCGTCGACTTTCTTTCTCTCCTCTTTTTAAATCCACCCCACCCACATCTCCAAAAATTCTCTCTGTCACTCATCCTCATACTTACACTTTCTAAATTCTGTTTTGATTTCCGGAGTTGTTTTTTCTGTTTTCATTTTGAATTTGTAGGTCTGATGATTTGGATCGTATTTACGATTACAATGGAATAAATTATATGGAATATTATGTTTAAGCCTTTTTTTTATATATATATATATATATATATATATATATATATATATATATAGTGAACATTTACGTCAAGACTCAGAGGCGACAGGCTGTTTCCTGCTAGACACAAATCGTCAGGCCGCCTGACGATTGCGTCTAACATGAAAACAGCCTGTCGCCACTTAGTGTTGACTACAATGTTCACTTATATTTACATACCCTCTATCTCTGATATTGAGCACTTTATTTTATAAATATAGCTCACCTTAAAACCATATATATATATATATATATATATATATATATCAAATGCATAATCTCATAAAACATATTGTGCAACATGAAGTGCAGGATCCGCTCTGCTTCTTCAGTTATTTTCTATGAATATGGATTTAAATAAGTGTATTTTCATTTATTTTTTGCTTGTTGTTGTTTTTTTTTAAACGGAATCACCCCAAGCAAAGCAGTAATGCCACTAAAACACAAGGGATTACAGGCTGTGGAGGAATTAGAAACAGAAACAACATTGATGAGCAAATAAAGAAGAGAGCGATCAGGAGGAGAGTATAGCGATTGACTTTTAAATTTTTGCAGATTAAAATTGGCAGAAAAGCATGGAAACGGAATAGAGTTCCACAAGCGAAAAGTAAGAGAAAAGAAACTGTTAGCATAGAATTTACGGCTACATCTAGAAAACTGATGAGAACTTTACGCCAGTCTAGTGCTGCTCTTAAATAAAACAAAAGAACTTTTGGTACCATAGCGAAGAGCTCATTCGAACAATCACCATGAAATTATTTATAGAAAGAACCACAGAGAGGCAACCTTACGTCGGAGCCGAGGCGCCAGTTCAGACCGATAATATTGCTGATTTTTCTTTGGATCTTATCTAGAAGCTCAGGATAAATAGCAGGGACACCGGACCATGTGTAGCAGCAATATTCTAAGCATGGACAAATGGTAGACTTATAGATATGTATGATAGATTCTGGAGAGAAAAATTGCCTCGAATGACAGTAAATCAGTTTTCTTAGCAGCTGACCTAGCAATGGATTAAATATTGTCTTTCCACTTCATACCAACAGAAAACCTGAACACGACATAGTTGCAACGTTTGTTTTTTCTTTTTGTTTTTTCTTTTTTTTTACCCGTCCGTACAAAGAATATTGCTGTCACATCAAGTCTTACGCTTTAGCTCCGTATCTTGAGATTCTAAGCGAAATAAAAAAAAAAGGATCTGCAATATTATCGGCTCCGACCTGACATCTCGACTTTAATCACTTTACCACCGTCCTAACGTAGAGTCCCTGTTCCTTTCCACAAATATTTTCATGCCAATTGTTCCCATGAGCACCCCCCACTTCTTTCGTGCTCCGACTTCATAAATTTAAAATCACAGGTCGCATTATTTTTCTGTTGTGATTGCGTGATATAACCGTAAGTTCTATACTGAAAGATTCTTCTGTCGCATTTCACGTCTATTGAGACTCTTTAACAGCTTCTTCCTTTCCTGTCGACTAGAACGTACAAAACTTTCAATGCAACGTTATCTTCTGTTTCCTTGCGACCCGTTTTGCGCTGACCGTTCCAAAGGGGGAGATGTTACCAGATGGATGAGTTCACGTTTAACAGTTAATATAGGGAAGAAAGCTTTGTCTTTCTACACAACACTTTTGGAAAGGGTGAGAATATTAAGGGAAGGATGAAAAATTGAAATAATGTATATTATTATTACAAACACACACGCGCAATCAACCTAACACCAATAAATAGCGCATTATTTTTCTATCTTATAACATCAACAAAAATGAGAAAATCGGCAGTCAACTGCAGAAACCTCCTGACGTATTAACCTAACCAATAGTTACATCAAGCAATTTCAACTATAAAATGATGAGACCTAACTGCCAGTCTAGTACTTTTCATATCGCGTGCTGTAAAAATGCAAGGGCCAGTCTAAAATAACTCCTCGAATTTGTCAGAATCTCAATATTTTCCGCCATTGAAATATCTTAAACAAAACATGCAGCTAAATATATAGATATGAACAAATTTAGATAGATAGATAGATAGATAGATAGGCTGACAAGCGACGACCGAAATCTGCCAATGTTGTTATATCGATTCTTTAAGGACTCTACTCCCCTGGTCTTACGGCAGATTATGTTATGCCGAGTCAATGTAACAATTAAGTCTGGTTGTGTGATATATTGAATATGTCTCTTGTACACCTCCATCGATTTCTCGTGCGTAAATTGGTTAAGTATTTAGGTGAACTTAATTGCCCTTTGCTGTAATTAGTTTTGATTTTTTTGTCATTGATCTGTTTAATGTCAAGTTCAAGAACGATTTCGAGTTGACATGGTCGCAGAAAAGACGAAATCAATGAATGGTTACTAGAAAGAAAGAAAAAGAAAGAAAGAAAGAATGAATGAATGAATGAAAAAGAATGAAAGAGAAAGAAAGAACAAAAATGAAAAAATGAAAAAGAACGAATGATTGAAAGGACAAAGAAGGCAGGAAAGGGAATTTAAGAACGACAGAAAAGATGTAAAAGAAAGAAAGAAAGAAAGAAAGAAAGAAAGAAAAGAGAATGTAAATACAGGAACGAATATATAAAAAAATAATGAAAGAACATAGAAATTAAAAAACAAATTAACACAAAAAAGAAATAAAGAAGGAATGAAAAAGAGAAAAGGAACAAAAGAGCAAAAGAAAGAATGAAAGCATAAGAAAGAAAGAAAGAAAGAAAGAAAGAAAGAACAAAAACGGAAATTTAATAAGAAGGAACTCAAAAGAAAAGTGAGGGAGCAAAAGAACGAAGAAACATTCCAATAATGAAAGGACAATCAATATCAAGCCTATATTTTAGCAATATATTTATCTCCAGGATTTTCTTGATTATAAACTCTAACGATTTTTAGATAAATTAACCTAAATTTAAGTTCATAATGAAAGGAAAACTTTTCATTTTCCTAAATCGAATTATAAATGTTTCGCGCAATTTAAAAATACATATAAAACTTTTGTTTGTTTTACGAATATCCGAACAAGGATTCGCTATTTCTCTGCACAAAAGCACAAATTTATAATCGTCACAATAATAAAACTTAAAGAAGGTTGGACAACTGATTGGTCAAAACACTAAAGTAACGAAAAATAAAAAAGGCAATAAAGAATGAGTTGTACATCTTTTGGAATAAGATTATTAACCTTTTGAGCTCTGACCACCACTTAACCGTTGCTAGAAAAAATGACGTAATGCTCAGCCACCGGTTGAGCTATTAGGTTGGTGCAAAAATAATGACGTTTTTTGACGTAGAAAAGTACGTCAAAAAACGACATTATTACGTCATTATTTTTGCACCAACCTAATATTTTCATATCTACCGTGAAATATTACAGACCAGTTATTTGCGAATTTTAACTCAGGGGCTCAGGCAGAAGGATTAAAATTGTTCAGGAACGCAGAGCTCAAAGGGTTAAAGGAAAACAATCGCAAAGGATGAACTAATAAAAAAGCCTAGGCTTAAATAAGGCACCGGCCTTTTAAGCCGGAGATTGCGAGTTCGAGCTCCGTCGGAAACGCACATGTAATATTTATCTTTATAAAAGAAGCCAGAAAATCTCGTTGCAGATTTGACAAGAACTATTGTCAACTTCTGTACGCACACATATACAAATACTTATTTACTTGAACTGGCATAAGGTCAATATTTTTGTGTGAAAAATAGTCTTTTTACAGTTGTCTCCACAGGTTAGAAGCTACTGATTGCCTGTACTTTAAAGCGTGAATCACTCATCAATCATCCATTTTATTATTCCGTTTTTTCGGATGTACGACTGTTATATTTTTACCTTAGATTATAATTTTATTAATTTTTTAATTCAGTTTTTTTTTTCTCACACCTAGAACTGACATTCTACGGTCGTTAGCAGATCGGCTGGATCCGGAATAAAGAATAAGTCTGCATCCCTTTTACCTTGAGAGACAACTTTTAGCGAGACAGATGCCTTACCAATTAAGCCATAGAAACTACTGGCTGCAGAAATTCAAATCTAATCTAATAGCTTTTACCTGAATATCTGGCGTTTCTGCTAATGTTATTTTTTTTTACATATTTTAGTAGCAGTAGCAAGGTAATTTTATCTTGAATTTGATTAATAGATAAGGCGTTACCCATTCTTATTAATTTTGTCTAATATTTCTTTTAACCTGTCAGGATTTTATGTAAATTTCGTCTTACTTTGCAACCTCCAGTTACAATCAACCTCAGTGGCTTATTTAATGCTGACAAGTTTTTTAAGATAGATTCGTATGAATAGAATATATATTAATTTTTTAAATGTATTGCTGGTATTTTTACTTTAAAAATCTATTTTTATACTTTCATAGCGTTTTGACCATTGTTTGGGGGTTAACTATTTGCCCATAGCTGGGACCCTAACGGGTGATACCACCCAGAGCCAGGATTGACCTTGGAACAACAGCAATTAAGAGGTGGGAGAATTAGGAACAGAAACATTAATAATGCCCAGTAAGAGAAGATAGTAATCAGGAGGGCAGTAGATAGCGATTGACATTGCTTCTAATTTTATTTTTTGCAGATTAAAGTTGGCTGGAAAGCATAAAGCCGGAAGGGATTTCAACAAGCGAGAAATGAGAGAAAAGAAACTGTTAGCATAGAACTTACGGCTACATCTAGCCAAATCTATAGTAACTTGATGACTCCAGTCTAGTACTGCACTTAAATTTTTTAAAAAATGTCTAGGTACCATAGCGAAGAATGATATTTATTCTGCTATATACAAAAATGCGGCACAAGGCCAAAATGGGGAATGGGGAAAAGGACGGTCTTGTTCTGTCTTAACGTTAAACGTAGCTAGCCACAAACACTGACCCAAACATACAAAAATATTCCTTACACCAAAACCAAACATTCTTACTTACCTTTCTTGCTACATTCACCATAATACCTCATTGTCTCTATGAAAGTCATAATTAGTCCCCATATGTACAATTCATTGTCTGTGAGGGGAGGGGGATAAAACAACAATTTAAAAAGTAACCCCCTAGCAAAGATCCCACCCGAACAATTACCATGAATGTATTTATAGAAAAGTTCCTTCTTACTAATGAAATACGGGTGGAATTAGGATGATTCGACTCTATGTACGTGGCTGTACATGAAGGTATGAACTGTTCAAACTAAGTTTTATACATCCTAAGTCGGTAAGTATTCCTAGTGTTTTTGTTGAAGCGTTGTATTGACGCCAACTTTCTTACCGTATTCAGCAGTGCAAGGAACAGAATCCAGTCAGAGTTATTAAAATAGCTCAGGTGGGAGACATTAGACTGATATTTTTACATTAATCAATACTTCTGCTCTGAATTGTTTTTCGTGGATCGGGTATCTGATTACTGGATTTAATATATGATCTGGCACAGTTATTAGCTGAAAACTGGCCTGAAAAGTTCAATGTGCAATTTTCGATCTATGAGAATGTTGCGTTCAAGGACGTGTCGAGAAACGCCGAGGGACGATCAGTTTTCTCTCTTCTCGTTCGATGCTAATGTAACGCTCATCTGATGTTTGGAGAGGTTTTATATTCTGATCATCTGTTGATAGTTCCTCTTCATTCAGCGTCGATTGGTGAGACTGGGTCATAGTCGTGCCTCTTGCTTTGCGATGATTATAACCAAAGAACCCTAAATCATGTGCTATGGTCTTGTGGGGTTTTTAATACATTATAGTGCTCAATTATTATGCAATATGAATCCTATATGGCAGTGAATTCTGGAAAATTTACTCGTAGATAAAGAGGAGACGTGAGAATATTACTGTCACATCTTGTCTGGTGCTCCTGCTATATATTTACAGATTCTTGATATGATTCAAAAAGAATCTGCAATGTTATTTGTCCTGATCTGGCATCTCGGCTTCAGTCCCTTTAGCCCCGCCGTAAGGTGACTTCCCTGTGCCTTTTAAATAAATACTTTGATGGTAATTATTCTGATGAGCTTTCTGCTATGGTACCTAGATTTTATGAATTTAAGCGCAGTACTGGATTGGCGGCAAGGTCTCATCATTTTGCAATTGAAATGACTAGATGTAACCGTAATTTCTATGTTAACGGTTTAATCTATCGCACTTCTCACTTATGAAACTCTCTTCTGGCTTCTAGCTTCCCAGTCAATTTTGCGCTTCAAAAATTTAAATGCAGTATCGTTATATTCTGCCTTCTTAATTTTTGTTCTTTTATTGTCTTAACATCCTTAACAGTAGTTTTTCTCAGTAACTGCTTTGCGTCCTAGTAGCTTTAATGTCTTGCTTGGGGTGAAATGATTTTTAAAAAGAAGAATGCTGAGAATATCATGGACGGAGCATGGGATTAACGAAGAAGGCAAATAGAAACGAAAGGACACTTAAAATCAGAAAGAAACAGTTGAAAATTGTGGAACACATATTGAGGAAAGAAGGTTTCGAGAATTTGACATTCACAGGGACATATTGAAGGCAAGTGCGGTAAACTGAAACAGTGAAGAACAAAACTTTCGAATAATTGGTAGTTTGAATCGGGACTGGGAGGGATAACAAGGAGATAAGCATTGCTTAGAGCTCCAAGAGATATGAAGTTGTGGGAAGCTATGATCGCCCACACCCCAAAGGGGACACGGCATATAAAAGGAGACAGGCCGAAATGAATCTCTTTCTATTTCATGACCTGAAAAACCACTTATTCTTCCGGTCAATGTGAGAAAGACGAGTGGGTATTAACTTCCCTTTCACTGACACAAAAATAATTACGGCTGTTTGAGGGAAGAATTGGTCACAGAGGTAGGATTGGGGGGAGACACTTTATCTCTACATGTCAACAACCGACAATAAGAATTTATTTCTTTTTACCCCTTTCTCTTTTCTTTCTTTCTAACCATAAAACTTCCTATGCTTCTTTTTTTACAATAAAAACTTCCTATTCTTCTCTTCTTCCATGCCTTAAGCCATAAAGCCTGTGGTGTTAAATTTTCTGATTTTATTCTTTTGAAACGTTTGCTCAAGATCAAGACGGGGCAATTCGGT